TCAGACACACAGCCCACGATGGCGGAGTCGTCTGAGAACTTCTGCAGGTGACAGCTGTTTGTGTCGTATGTGAAGTCTGAGGTGTAGATGGTAAAGAGAAACAGTGAGAGGACAGTGCCCTGAGGGGCCCCAGTACTGCAGACTACCACCTCAGACTCACAGCTGCGCAGCCGCACGTACTGTGGTCGGTCTGATAGGTAGTTGATGGTCCATGCAGTGAGGCTACTGTCCACTCCCGCGTCCTCCATCTTCCCCTGCAGCAGTGCCGGTCTGATGGTATTGAAAGCGCTGGAGAAGTCGAAGAACATGACCCTCACAGCGCTCCCGGCAGGCTCCAGGTGGGAGAGCGTCCGCTGCAGGAAGTAGATGACGGGGGGGGGAATCAAACCGGTTGCTGGTCTCCATCCGCTGTCCCTCTGGCACTCTGTCCAAAGCCGGAGATGTTCTTTAGGCCTCTCCACACGTCGCGGGCGTTTCCCTGGGCCAGCTTCTGCTCCAGCTTTTTCCCGTAGTCCTTCTTGGCCCTCCTGATCCTCCACTGGAGCTCGTGCTGGATCCTCTTCTGCTCCTCCCTGTCCCCTGAGATGAAAGCCCTTTTCTTGAGGTTCAGGAGGGCTTTAAGCTCAGGGGTCACCCATGGGTGGTTGTTAGAAAAACACCGCACCTTCAGTGTTATCCACACAGAAGAGAATATAGTCAGTAATGCAGTGTGTCAGGCTCTCGATGTCCTCACCATGAGAGCTGCAGATCATTTCCCAATCAGTGTTTTGAAAACAATCTCTCAGCATCTCATCCACATCATCGCTCCACACTTTTACAATCCTCTTCTGTGCTGGATTTCTTCTCACCACTGGTATGTATTCCGGAGACAGACGGACCAGGCTGTGATCAGAGCGTCCGAGAGGGGGGAGGGGGGAGGAGGCGTATGCGTCCCGCACATTAAAATACAGTAGGTCCAGAGTCTTATTGCCACGAGTTGGGCATGTGACATACTGTTTGAACGTTGGGAGAGTGGCGGAGAGGGAGGCGTGGTTAAAGTCCCCGCTGATCAGAAGCAGAGCACGGGGACTGGGTCTGGATCTGGGTCACAGTTCTGTGGATCCCCTCACATGCTGCGGCCACGCGAGCAGCTCCAGGTCTTGTGTGCATGTACGCTGAACCACATGCACATGCGTCGGGATGCACCACTGCTCGTTCACGTAGACCGCGACACCCCCGCCTTTCCTCTTCCCACTCCCCTCCGCGCAGCGGTTTGCTCGCACAAGTTTAACCCTCTATGCACATGGGTCATTTTGGGGAACCTTCCTCGCCTGGTTTTCTTTGTGTATAATTGTTCATAAAACAGTCATCTTTTGATGCAAAGTCAAGCAGTATACTTTGTTTTTTTCAGTACAACCTGGGGTTTTAGAATATTCATATTGTAAAGCTGTCATATGAATTATATAAAAATTATGGAATCATGAAGACAAAGAAAAAAATCAAACGGAAAATCAATTTAACAAAAATGTATTGAAAAAACACAATGAAATGCTATAAACAACTTTTTACACTGCATAGAAATGTTATTTAGGGACTTAGGGATAATGGGGAAAAAAATGGAATCTCTAACTATTATACTTTTTACAAAATTCCACTATAAAAGCAAAAAACTCTGTACTCCTGATGCCCTTACTGAAGCAGTTTGTCTAATGCTGGGGTTGCTTCTGTAGCACAGCTGTAAAAAACGTAAAACATAAGAAACTGAGCCAAAAAAAAAAAAAACATCAATTATTTATATAATACATATATTTATATACATCATATACACATTATGTCATTTTACTGTATTTATTATCGTCTTTATCAATAATGCGCACTCTTCAGCCGGTAATTGCAATCGCAGCTGTAGTTTCAACTGTGGGAGAACAAGTACAGACAGAGGAGTGAGACATCTCACTCTCTGACGATCTTTGGCAGTCCCCGTGTGTTTGTATCTCACAGCTGTTTGTACCTCACGGGTCACGATTTGGACACGGACTTTCAGACAAACGTAGTTTATCCTCCGTGCATCGCACAGACAAATCAAATAGTTTCGGAAAGCCCTGAATATGTACTTGCTACGTTTTACCGTTCGCGAGTAAATTGATCATTTGTAAAACATGTGCGCATGCATCGGCGCCGATGCAGACTGGTTCATATCCCTCCAACGCGACCACAGAGTCCGGTATATTCCCACACAGCCACGTCTCAGAGAAACACACAAGTCCACATTGTCTGTACTCTCTTTGATGGCGGACCAGTGCGGTCAGCTCCTCAGTCTTATTAGAGATGGACCGTACGTTCCCCATGATGATGGAGGGGAGATACGGTCTCTTCTTCCTCTTTCGGCCTCCTCTGGAGCCCCTGCGTCTCCTACGGATCTCCACGGGGATCACCGGCTTCTCTGAGTGCCGGAAAGCAGAGTCTCTAAGTCCGAGGAGCTGCTCCCGTGTGTAGACAATGGGACACGCTGGTCTCGTAGCTCTGTGAGCGGAGGACTCCGAAAAAAGTGCCGAAGACATGTTAATCCAGTAGAAAGTCAAATATACGCTTTCCTACAAAAAATACAAATAAAAAAGCACATCTACAAGAAATAAATAGAGAAAGGGTCGGAAAGAGAAGAGAGCCAAAGTGACGAGCTGCACAGCGGGAGCTGGCGCCAGGAATGAACTGTCAGGAATGAACCAGACAGAGACGGATCGTGGTACGCCAAACTCTGGAAGTTTATTTAGGTTTCTCTCAAGTTCCAGTGGTTTCTGTTGTTTCTTTCTCTCAGACCGAAATGGAGTCCGTACATGTTATATAGTCATTGTTACGTCACACATCGAAAGACATACGTGTCACACAGAGACACACAGAGCAAATCATAGTCATGACATGAATGTACAATCAAAGTCCTTGTATAGTCTTGCAGTTGTCCTGCACGTATAGGCCAAATAGCTATCTAATCCTCACAGAATAATAGTAACTTTTTCACACTGACAATAATGAGAACGAGGCAGAATCTGCAAAACAGTCTCAGGATGTTCTTACCCAATCCGAGCGCAGTCCAACTACTATGTCACAAGTTTCAACTAAACTTATTCATGGAAAAAGCCTCAAATAAAACACACACCGAATCCCCACAAAACAATCGCCAGAATACTTCATCAGCAGAGTGAGTGAATGTTATGTTTTCTTACCGTGATGCAGATAGGGCGCTGTGGCTAACGCTAATGCTAACATGAACTTTTATCCATGTCCTGCCCAGTGGGGGAGGGTCCCAGCTCAAAAGTGGCCAAAATGACTTGCGCTGACATGCTGCAATACCACCCCGGGCCGTTGGGGGTGGACCCAGAAGAAGAATTAGCCAATGCTAACATATAGCGTTGGCACACCTCTCAAAAACGTCTTTACAGGATGGACCAAAAGTTGGCTCTTGGCCCAAAGCTCCGTTCCACATGTGTGTCAATGCAGAGGGGGGTGATTTTTTTTGGTCCACTCTAGTTTACTCGCGGGGAATTTTTGAAGTCTCTCGTTCAAATGAATGGAGCTGCACCGGCTGACGCATGCGCAAATGCGTTTTTTCACAATTTTCTTGTGGGCGGGACCACTCGCGGCCATCTTGGATTGCTCCATGAAAGCACTTTTCATGGCCAACTCCTATGAACGGCGGAGATAGGCGTGACTCTGTCCGTTAATATATACAGTCTATGGTCCTGCCACGGCTGTGTATGTCCTGCTTCTTTGATCATCGTTGTTTTAAGCTCCCACAGACGTTATTCCTCCATGCGTCTCTTCTCTTCACACTGCGTTTGTAAAACTATTTATTATAATAGATTCATGGTATAACTATATATTATTATAGATCCATGGTAAAACTCATTAGAGCCTTTGTGCAGGGTGTTGCGTCTGAACCAGTGGGGGCGGGTCCCAGCTCAAAAGTGGCCAAAATGACGTGCGCTGACATGCTTGCAATACCACCCCGGGCCGATGGGGGTGGACCCAGAAGAAGAATTAGCCAATGCTAACATATAGCGTTGGCAGACCTCTCAAAAACGTCTTTACAGGATGGACCAAAAGTTGGCTCTTGGCCCAAAGCTCCGTTCCACATGTGTGTCAATGCTGAGGGGGGTGGATTTTTTTGGTCCACTCTAGTTTACTCGCGGTAAATTTTTGAAGTCTCTCGTTCAAATGAATGGAACTGCGCCGGCTAACGCATGCACAGATGCGTTTTTCCACAATTTTCTTGTGGGCGGGACCACTTGCGGCCATCTTGGATTGCTCCATGAAAGCACTTTTCATGGCCAACTCCTATGAACGGCGGAGATAGGCGTGACTCTGTCCGTTAATATATACAGTCTATGGTCTGAACGCGGTCTTGTTTACATCCACTCCTCCACACGACTGTCAAGTGCCCGAGATGTTTGGAGCGATCCGGTCATTTATCAAACTAAAGTATTCTTTCCTTGGCAGTCTGGTGAATAACTGACTAACTCAAAGGTTTCCGTACTTTAATTGACTGCAATATGAGATCGCAATGCTAGATGGCACTAAATATTACACAGTGTACCTTTAAACATGCAGTGAAAAGGTTGAAAGACTCAGAGCTTTGATAAGTGTAAAATCGAAGGAATTATCAATTACTTTCTACTTGAATTAAAGATGTGGCACTTGTTTAAGTTTAGTTTTGGTCAAATTATGTAATCCCAATTATTAATTAGTCTTCCATTATCTAGAAAAAGTCTTGTGTGCGTGAATGGTTAGTGGTGGTCGGAGGGGCCAAGTATCCACGCTCAACCGTGGCTACAGTAGTATCTTTACACCAGAGTGTATACAGTGAATGAATAATACCATTTGTGTCATGAAAAGCGCTTTATCAGATTCTAAATAACTGATTACTACTACTACTACTACTACTACTACTACTACTACTACTACTACTACTACTACTACTACAAGATTTCAGGGGAGCATTTGATTGAAGGCAGTGTTCTACTCAGGTGAAGAGCATGCTAGTGTACGTGGAGAGGAAGGTTCTAGAGGACCCAGCCATAACAGCAGACGAGAACTTTGCACACATCACTAAGAAGTTCTGCACCTTCATGGAAGGTGAGCCTATCTCTGTACAAAATAGGCTCTTTATTTCTACCACCCTTCTCTGGTCCATAATGTCATGGCTGATTGATGATGACTAAAATGTTTGTTTTTGTCCCCAGATTTTGATGACATTTCTAACCATGTGGACTTCATCATCTGTCTGGGAGGAGATGGTACTCTGCTATATGCGTCCTCTCTCTTCCAGGTACAAGCCCATAGCCCCATAGCCTAGAGTAGGTCAAACCGGCTATATGAGGACTGGTTGACAGCCCTAGCCGATAGGGACTCGGCTGCAATGTGTTCGAATGTCATGTCTTTAGGGTTAGGGTCAAGAGTCTGCATATTTGCAATGTCTAGCGGCAATAGTAGAATTTTTTATTTATTTGAAGGGGACAGTGTGTATTAAAGAACAGCTAATACTGTAAATGCACTGGAATGACCTGGAACTAAGATAAGATAAGATATTCCTTTATTTGTCCAACAGTGGGGAAATTTCAGTGTCATTGTTGCTCACATTACAGCAGAGAAAGAAGAGGATAAGAGCACTCAGAGTGCACACATCAAACAAAGTCTTTTATTTAAGATAATAGAATAATTGCACTTGGTTCAGAAGTATTTACAGATGTTACAATAGTAACAATATCAGCAGTAAAGTGACGAGTGAATGACAGAGATCAGATGGATGGATATGTAATAATGCAGTAATAATAACAGGTAAAGTGGCTAATGACTAAGTTACTAGTGAATTATTATCGGTGACACTTGTACAGACCCAGCCGTTCTCGTTATACAGTCTGATAGCAGCAGAGAGGAAGGACCAGCAGAACCTTTCCTTCACACAGCGAGGAACTAAACTAGCTTTTATGTCCCATTGACACGTTTTTAGTGGCAGCAAAAAACAGAAGAAACCTACAGAGATACAGTCAGAATATGCAAACTCCACTCCACAGGAGTTGCTTAAAAATACAGTGCCTTGCGAAAGTATTCGGCCCCCTTGAACCTTTCAACATTTCGCCACATTTCAGGCTTCAAACATAAAGATATAAAAATTAAATTTTTTGTCAAGAATCAACAACAAGTGGGACACAATCGTGAAGTGGAACAAAATTTATTGGATAATTGAAACTTTTTTAACAAATAAAAAACTGAAAAGTGGGGCGTGCAATATTATTTGGCCCCCTTGCGCTAATACTTTGTAGCACCACCTTTTGCTGCAATTACAGCTGCAAGTCGCTTGGGGTATGTCTATCAGTTTTTCACATCGAGAGACTGGAATTCTTGCCCATTCTTCCTTGCAAAACAGCTCGAGCTCAGTGAGGTTGGATGGAGAGCGTTTGTGAACAGCAGTCTTCAGCTCTTTCCACAGATGGATTCAGGTCTGGACTTTGACTTGGCCATTCTAACACCTGGATACGTCTATTTGTGAACCATTCCATTGTAGATTTGGCTTTATGTTTTGGATCATTGTCCTGTTGGAAGATAAATCTCCATCCCAGTCTCAGGTCTTTTGCAGACTCCAACAGGTTTTCTTCCAGAATGGTCCTGTATTTGGCTCCATCCATCTTCCCATCAATTTTAGCCATCTTCCCTGTCCCTGCTGAAGAAAAGCAGGCCCAAACCATGATGCTGCCACCACCATGTTTGACAGTGGGGATGGTGTGTTCAGGGTGATGAGCTGTGTTGCTTTTACGCCAAACATATCTTTTTGCATTGTGGCCAAAAAGTTTGATTTTGGTTTCATCTGACCAGAGCACCTTCTTCCACATGTTTGGTGTGTCTCCCAGGTGGCTTGTGGCAAACTTTAAATGAGACTTTTTATGGATATCTTTGAGAAATGGCTTTCTTCTTGCCACTCTTCCATAAAGGCCAGATTTGTGCAGTGCACGACTGATTGTTGTCCTATGGACAGACTCTCCCACCTCAGCTGTAGTTATCTTCAGTTCATCCAGAGTGATCACGGGCCTCTTGACTGCATCTCTGATCAGTCTTCTCCTTGTTTGAGATGAAAGTTTGGAGGGACGGCCGGGTCTTGGTAGATTTGCAGTGGTCTGATACTCCTTCCATTTCAATATCGGGCGGCACGGTGGCTGAGTGGATAGCACTCTCGCCTCTCAGCAAGAAGGTCCTGGGTTCAAATCCCGGTCGGACCAGGGCCTTTCTGAGTGGAGTTTGCATGTTCTCCCCGTGTCTGCGTAGGTTTCCTCCGGGTACTCCGGTTTCCCCTACCACTAAAAATATGTCCAATAGTTCTGGCATGCGCTTCCTGTACTGGCCCCGCTCCCATCTCTGTGTGGAGTGAGAGACAAATGCCCAAAATTAACAATTGTAAAACCGCTTTGAGACTCAGATCTGCAGTGAAAAGGCGGTATATAAATAAAAACTTACTTACTTACTTACTTACAATATAATTGCTTGCACAGCGCTCCTTGAGATGTTTAAAGCTTGGGAAATCTTTTTGTATCCAAATCCAGCTTTAAAGGAGCAATATGTAATATTTGCATGTCAAGTCATCATTGAATGACCCAAATATTTCAAAAGGCGTTATTAAATCATACTCTTTTCGAATTCATCTTTAACTGATAACAGTAGTTCAGCCGAGATATTTGATTATCAAAATTAGTTTTACGACCCGTAAAAATTGTTATTGTTTTGATTTTGATGTCCTACCCTCCGCCGTTTCGCCAATCAGGAAGTGTCATGTAAGTCCGTGATCGGGTTGCCAGAACTCCGCGCGGCTCATTAATCTCAGAGGTAAAATAACATGTGGCGCAGAACTAAAAAAGGTCTTGTTATGACTCTCAAATCATTAATGACAAAAGAAAGACTAAAACGAGGATTTATATCGGGATGCCTTTGAACAATTGAGACAGCTGATAAAAGTTCACGTGTGATGCAGAATTTTCTAGTTTGACTCCGTTCTTCACAGTGTCTCTGTTCGTGTGAATCGGTGGTCTAATGGTCTAAACTGTGTGCTTACGATGCAGGAACCCGGGTTCGATCCCGGGCTATGTCTTTTTGTATTTATTGCATGTTATCACATTCTATAACAGATTGCTCTAAAAACGGTAAAAGATGAAGGTCAAGACGTTTTTTTTGCAGATTATAGCTTAATTGTAAAAATAATCATTTAAGACCACATGTACCCCAATTCAAATAATGTTAGTCTCTTTTTGATGTGGGACTTTTACATGTTTGTCTAAAAAATAGGGAATAAATAGAATTGAAAGGTGATATCCTCTTGAGCAAACCCTGATGTTGATACACTGAAGAAATACGTTCCAACATCCATTCTTCCCACTCCTATTTTGGACATCAATTGCTTATTTATTTTGCATAAACTATGTATAATTACATTGCTTTTATTTTGTTTTTGTTTTTTATCTCAAATGTCCAAATAATAATAATAAAAAAACATTAATCAAAACATTCATTCAGCATTAGCACGGCTGTCATGGCAATGTGAATGGAGACGGACAAACAACTGATAAAATAATTCCCTGTGTTTGCTGCTGGATTTGGTGTGAATCTGGCAACCTGAGTCAGGGAGAGTGGGAGAGGACTACAAATATTGACTGTGACTGCAGTACCACTTTTGGCCAGATTTTTACATATTGCTCCTTTAAACTTCTCCACAACAGTATCTCGGACCTGCCTGGTGTGTTCCTTTGTCTTCATGGTTCTCTCTGCGCTTTAAACAGAACCCTGAGACTATCAAAGAGCAGGTGCATTTATACGGAGACTTGATTACACACAGGTGCATTCTATTTATCATCATCAGTCATTTAGGACAACATTGGATCATTCAAAGATCCTCACTGAACTTCTGGAGTGAGTTTGCTGCACTGAAAGTAAAGGGGCCGAATAATATTGCACACCCCACTTTTCAGTTTTTTATTTGTTAAAAAAGTTTAAATTATCCAATAAATTTCGTTCTACTTCACAATTGTGTCCCACTTGTTGTTGATTCATGACAAAAAATTAAAATTGTATATCTTTATGTTTGAAGCCTAAAATGTGGCGAAATGTTGAAAGGTTCAAGGGGGCCAAATACTTTCGCAAGGCACTGTATCTGGTCCACAAAAGTCATTATGCAGTGTGTCATCTACAATAGATAAGGCTTGTTTGTTATGTTTGAACATACAGTAACACCAGCCTGCCCAGGGACTACAGGTGGAAATTAGCATCTCTGCTATAACCTGGTACATGCATCTCTCCTTTTGTGTTAATGCTTAACTGTACACTGTCCCTGTTCAAATAAAGTACATACAATACAATACAAAATGTTTGTTGATCCCTGTGTAATGTGATTGAGTCTCTTCCTGTATCTGTCTCCAGGAGAGTGTGCCTCCGGTCATTGCCTTCCACCTGGGCTCCCTGGGCTTCCTCACCCCCTTCAAGTTTGATACGTACCAGTCCCAACTCACTCAGGTCATCCAAGGTATGCCTCAGAGCTCGTTATTACAGATAGATATGTGCAATTGTCAATGTTCAGAATATACATTGTACATTAAAGGTTGTACATCAAAAGGAGGCTGAATAATAGAAGTCTTCTAACATAGAATCTAGTTTTCATGTGGCCATTATTTTAAATGAGTGATTGTTCATTGTTCCACGACTAGGACTGTTAGGACCAGGATAATTCCTAAAGTATGTCGATGATCGACAAAGACAATCATCGACCGGCCTAGGGCGCCCTTGTGTCACGTACACTGGTGGACACCCTTGTGCTCGAACATGGTGTTCGTTATGGACAAACCATGGCTAGCACACAAGGTTGGTGCACCGTCCAGTACCCCTTCCAAGGACTCAAAGAAGGCCAAGTGCTATGCCCTGCTGTTTGGCTCGTAGGCGTAGGCAGCCTCGTGCGATACTTGTACCCCACCAGGAGGCGGAGGGACGCGACCCTCTCTTTCACCAGAGTGAACTCCAAAACTTGGCACCTTAGATGGAGGGCAATTAGAATGACCCGCTAGAAAAGTGGAGCGTTCAACCTAGTGGGAGCGGGTCCCAGCTCAAAAGGGTCCATAAGCATGTGCGCTGACATGCTTGTAATCTGACTCGGAAACAGAATTATCCAGTGTATCCTTATTCCTCTAAAAACGGCTTTACAGCCTGGTCCAGATGCGTGTCAAGGAAACAACGACAGCAGACATCAGTGGGAGCAGGCGGAGAAGGTATCATGGGGATCCTTCAGGCTCAAAGGCCAATGCTCATCGCCCAAAACGGAATGAACAGTGAATACAGAGCTTTAAATTTGCTTTGATAATTCAGAACGTGGTTGCACCTGCCATTTCTTTTCAACTTAAAGGTCTTTTCTTTTTTCAATTGATAATGAGGTTAGAGACTCCACTTCTGACCCTGATCAGAAATGGCTCATCTCCATCCCCCAGTTTTCAATAGAGTCCATTCCTTTAACAACATCCATCTTCAGTGTAAATTCCTGAACCATATTGTATAAACCTCACATTTTAGCATAGCTGTTATGGAATTTCATAGAATGAACAAGGGTACGTTTTGAATAAGTTTTTATTTAAATTGAGGGATAATACAAAAAATACAACTAAATGACTTGTGTCCCCAGATAACATGTCACATGTACACATACATGTGTCCCCAGATAACAGGTTGCAAGTACAAATCATATTTGACCTTTTCTGAAGTCTAAGCCAAACCCTAACAGTTCAAAGACGGGCCAGCATGTGTTAAAATGTATAGAATGCTCCATTATGCATTTGTGATTAAACTTGTATACAGTTTTCTTGGTTTCTTAGCGAGCAGCCTTCAGATTGATGTACAACATTCAGTATGTTCACATTGTATTTCATTAATTCTTGCAGCTTAGAAAGCTGAAAAACAGCAGATATTGCACGTTCAAAAACATGAACACAAACAATGGAGATATTCTGGAAGTCTCCTTGCACACAGTTCTTTCACCTTCTTGTTGTGCTCTAGGAAACGCTGCCCTAGTCCTGCGCAGTCGCCTGCGAGTCCGAGTGACCAAAGGGGGGATAGAAAAGAACGGCCTGAGCTTGACCAACGGAGAAGTGGACAAAGCACTGCACACAGATGACTACCAGGTTTGGCTCACTTGGGAATTTTCTGCAAACCAACTTGTTCTGTTGAGTCTGTGGACTGTGCACTTTCAGAGAAGAGAACCTTAGTTGTTCCAAAGTGAGAAAATGCTGTTGTTATCGGACACAGTAAGAAAAATGAGCGCACAAAAGAGATGATAACTTTATCTTTAGAGACCAATACACTCTAGAAGCAGTACATGTATACGCTTTTCACTGACAGACGGAGCACCTTCCCGCTTGTGTTAGGAATATTAATGAGACAAAACATGCCGAGGTAATAACATCACTATTTTACATTTGTTTGGTATAGAAAAAGCAAATAACTTTATCTACTCAGAAGACAAGATTAAACTCCCCAAACCATAACCAGGGTTTGGGAGTAACAGAATACGTATGAGTATAAGTATTCAGAATACTCTTTTTGAGTAACTGTAATCCGCTACAGTTACTAAAGTCTAGAATTTTGAATACCGTTTCTGCCTGAAAATCTTAGGAATACATACTTTTTAAAGGTAAACCAAATAAAAGGTTGCGTCCACGCATTTTGCTTCCAACAACATGTCCAGCCGAGTAACATCAAGCGCATTGCAGCGGGCTGCCCAACACTGACCATAACCATAGTCTGTATATCAGGAGAGGACTGACCTCAGCCATCGTGTTTGCTGCAATGCAGAAGTTTACCGCACCTTTATACTTGTCCATTTGTCTTGCACAGACTAGAGACCATCACAGAGCCGCTGTGCTTGAGCTGAGCTTAGAGCACACACAATTGGACTCGATTTAGTCATGTGAGGTCATGTGATAATTGAAATCAGGCCACTTCTGAAGGCCTTTGGTTACACAAAGAGGAAAGGGGGTGGATACTTAGGCACACCCCACTTTTTAATGAAAAAGTTGAACCTCCATCTTCTTTCTGTCCCTCTCTGATGCTGCTGCTCCAACAGACAACACTGTACATGATGGTTGATGCCACCACAGAGTCATAGAAGGTCTTTTGGAGTGGCCCCTGCACTCCAAAAGACCTGAGCCTCCTCAGTAGGCCGGCTCTGGCCCTTCTTGAAGAGGGATAATTTAGCATGTTAGCTAAAGCTGAGAACACACTACTTAACTTTGTACCTGATGTAGCCCCCACTTTCAGCCACAGTCAATCATAAGTCAGTGGCAGGTTATCTAGACCAGTGGTTCCCAAAGTGGGGGTCCCGACCCCCCGGGGGTCGCGGGAACCCCTGGGGGGGTCGCAAGATGATTTCCACACAAACAAACAAAAAAGATATATATTTTTTGAGCAAATATAAAGTCCTTAAATATTTATTTAGCATTTGATTTGATTCAAAAGGACTACTTGTTAAATTGTGTTTGGAGACTATAATATATTTTAATAACGTTAGTAATTTTGTCCCAGTCATTGCAGCGTCAATCAAAATCATCACGTAACACAGCTCACATCATGCGCAGCGACAAACCGTGTCCTGCTGTTGTTTGCTAAAACTAAAGGTGTTTGGAGGCTACAAATAAATAATACCTGCTTTAAAATGAAACGTGGTTAATATCCACAACAGAAAAACCCGGAGGGGGAGAAAAGTCACTTGTATCAGGGGTCAGGCTGATGGTGCGAAGAGAGGGAGAGAGGGCAGAGGAGGGAGAGAGGGCAGCGGAGGGAGGGAGAGAGGGCAGCGGAGGGAGGGAGGACAGCGGTAGAACAGCGCGTTAAAGAGGCCCGGCTTTTCGGAGTCAAAGGTAAAGAGGTCCGCACATTAAAAGCGGGTAGCCGGTTTATGCCTTTACTGACAGTAACTTTGGAAAGAGAAGCCGCGGGGATGAACCGCATAAAGTAACAGCAGAAAGCGGCCGCCCGCTTTTAATGTGCGGACCTCTTTACCGCTGACTCCGGAAAGCCGGCCCACTTAACCGCGGTAGGAGAACAGTGAGGGCGAGCCGCAAGTAATGCGCTCCACTTCTGCTGCGGAGGGAGCCCACCAAGCCCATCACTGTGTCACTACATGAGTAAAAATATGCAAGCCTCCTTTTTTGGGCTGGACAGTGCAGCTCGGTAGTGGCATGAGTCTCTAGAAAGCGTTACTCCGTATCAAGGAAATACATGCTCATTTCATGTGACGGAAGGGCTGTTGGGGAGGGGGGGGCGGGGGTCGCGGGTTAGCAGGGCATTTATGATGGGGGTCGCGGGCTAAAAACTTTGGGAACCCCTGATCTAGACCATAGACATGGACTTGACACAGACCAGGCATCAGTCGGTCTTTCTAACATACAGTATTTGATTTATACTCCTGATTATCCATAGTTACAGCCATAAGGAGTTATTGCTTTACATTAAACATATTTCATAACTCATCACTTCACTTCACTTCACTTTATTTCATGTCCCCGATGGGGCAATTTGGTTCACAGCACAGGGACACATACAAAGAAAAAGACATAGAATAAAAATTTTCCCCATACATTCAGACTAACAAGGTGTCCATATACAGTCTTCCAGTCAGGTCAATGGCAGTTTAAAAACAGGATAAAAAAGAAGACAAAAACTGTCCCCCTCAAGCAAAAATTTCAACCCCTATTTCCTCCGTCTCTGGTTTGAGTTTAGTGTAGAGATCGCTGCAGGTACGAAAGAGTATTTATATCTATTACTCCGAATCATTGGAGTTCTGAGTCTGGAACCAGACGGCAGGTAACTAAACTCTTCATGAAGAGGGTGAGCCTCATTACCCAGAATCCTCAGAGCCCTCCTTGTCACCTGACCAGTGAACAGCTCAGAAAGTGGAGTCTGAGGAGCTCTCAAAATCTTACCACTCAGGTTAACTATTCTGCTGAGTGACTTTTTCCCTTTGACATTGAGGTTACTGTAGTGTATTTAATAAGACTCGGACAGTGATCACATTTCGTGACGAACTTTACTTAGCCAACAACCTGTCTGTGAGAAGCAACCAGACAAAGCGCATGCGTAACAAATGGACTGTACCAAATCTCCAACAATAGGGGTGAATACACCACATCATCCCCCTTTTAAAATAGGAACAATATTTTTGTATTCAAATTAGTGCAGTAGTAAGCTTGTACATATTAACAATAGAAGTTACCAAATAATCATGCCAATAATCAAATAACAATTATCTGATGTACAACTGAAAACAATAATATCAGAATATGTAGTATTCAATGCTATTTCAACTGATTACTTGCTATTCAAGGTATCTATTTGTTTTTTTGCGAACACGCTCAGAGCGCCTCACAGTCACTGATGGTGGTTCTGGAGGAACTGATGGTTGCACAGGCGAATCCACAGTCGTCTCAACTGGTGTGTCATTTCCGGTATTTTGCATTTCTGCTTCAAAAGTCTCAGTGTTTATATCGGTCTGTTCAGGTGATGCTCTGGCACGTAGTTGGTCCCCATGACGTCTGTGCACCGTGTCAGAGTCTCTCTCCTTGACTTGATAAGATACTGGACCAGTTTGTCTCACAACTTGTCCAGGAATCCACTTGTGAGCTCCTCCCGCTGTGTTGCGCAGATACACATACTCATCCATTTCAAAAGTGCGGTTCTCAGCTGAGTAGTCGTGTTGATCTTTTTGTTGATATTGCTTCTTACGAACAGTCTCTTTGGTGTTAGGCTTCAAGAAATCCAGCCGGGTGCGGACGTGTCTGTGAAGAAATAGATCCGCTGGAGACTGACCTGTTGTGCAGTTGGGGGTGGTCCGGTACTGTAGCAAGAACAGCGACAGTTTGTCCTCGATGCTACAGGGCAGGCTGGCAAGTTTTTTCATTCCTGTCTTGAACGTCTGAACATATCTCTCTGCCAGACCATTTGTTGCAGGATGCCCTGGTGCACTAGTTGTGTGCAAGATGCCATTTTGTGTCACAAAGATTTGGAACTCCTCAGATGTGAAAGTAGTTGCATTATCAGTCACTATCTGTTCAGGAAGTCCATATGATGCAAACAGTCTTCTCAACCTCGTTACTGTTGCTTGAGTTGTTATTTGTGACATGCGAAAAACTTCCAACCACTTTGTATATGAATCCACGATGATCATAAACATACTGTTCAGAAAAGGTCCTGCAAAATCTATGTGCAGTCTCTTCCAGGACTCACCTGGAAACTCCCATGGGTGGAGTGGTACTTGCTGTGGCATTTTCTGCTCAAGTTGGCATATTTCACATTGTTTGCATACTTTTTCAATGTCAAAATCCAGGTTAGGCCACCAAGTATATTTGCGGGCTAGAGCCTTTGACTTCACTATCCCCTGGTGTCCTGAATGTATTTCCAGCAGCACTGCTTTTCTCATTTTTGCAGGTACGATGACTCTGGTTCCCCACAGTACACAGCCTTGCTCTGTGGAGAGTTCATTCCTTTTTGTATAGTAGACCTTTAAATTCTCATCTGTGAGAGCGGGCCAACCTTCCATCACAAACTTGTACACTTTTGACAAATCCGGGTCAGTGCGTGTTGCTCTTGCAATTTGAGTGGCATTTAGCGGCGCTTCATGTAAGTGCTCTGTAAGTAGTGAGTGTACTGTCTCTGAACTCACAGCTGTCCCAACATCACAAGTCTCTGGTAACGGACAGCGTGACAGTCCGTCTGCGTTGCTGTGCTCTGCTGATTTCTTGTAAATAATGTGGTAGTCATACGCTGAAAGTATGATCGCCCATCTTTGAATACGTGCAGCTGCCAGTGTGGGTAGACTTTTGTGCTCACCAAAAAGCGTCAGCAGGGGGCGGTGATCCGTTGCTAGAGTAAAATGTCTACCCCACAGATACTGGTGGAACTTTTTAACACCATAGATCAGTCCCAGAGCTTCTTTCTCTATTTGGGAATACTTCTTTTCAACTGGAGACAAAGTGCGAGAAGCATAAGCTACGGGCCTCTCTTCCCCATTTGGCATTGTGTGTTGGATGACTGCCCCGATGCCATATGCAGAGGCATCACAAGCTAAAGTGAGCGGTAGATTTGGGTCATAATGTGCCAAGACCTGATCACTTGTTAACACTTCTTTGCATTTGACAAATGCTGCCTGCTCACTCACAGTCCATTTCCAAGTAACATTGTCTCTTAGCAACTTGTACAGCGGAGCAAGTACTGTGCTTTGCATTGGTACAAATCTGCCATAGTAGTTAACAAGTCCCAAAAACGCTTGTAACTCTTTCACATTTGTTGGAGCAGGAGCGTCCTGTATTGCTCTCACCTTGTCTTTTGCTGGGTGGATGCCGTGCTCGTCCAACACGTGTCCCAGGTACTCAATCTGCTCTTTGTCAAACTCACACTTGGAACGTTTCACTCGCAACCCATTTTCCTGTAGACGTTGCAGAACATATTCCAAGTTATCATTGTGCTCCATTTTATTGCGTCCAGTGATTAACAGGTCATCCAGGTAGACAACCACTGGCAAATCCTTCATGATGTTTTCCATAATGCGCTGGAAAATTGAAGGCGCTGAGCTAATTCCAAAAGGAAGCCTATTGTAGACAAATAGTCCCTTGTGCGTGTTGATGGTCGTGTACTTTTTAGACTTCTCATCTAACAACACTTGCTGATAAGCTGCTGCAAGATCTATTTTTGAAAAGATTTTACCCCCACTGAGGGTCGCAAGCAGTTCCTCCAGACGTGGCAGCGGGTACGTGTCTGTCTCAATGGCCTGGTTCACTGACACTTTGTAGTCTCCACATAAGCGCAGTGATGTGTCTCTCTTCAGCACTGGCACAATAGGTGCTGCCCACTCACTGTGCTTTACAGGCGAGATTATGTTTGCTTTTTCCAACCTTTTCAGTTCATTTTCAACTTTTTCTTTCATTGCAAATGGGAGTGGCCTGTGTTTGCAAAACTTAGGGGGTACCTCTGGCTTCACGATGATGGAGGCTGTAATGTCCTTGAGAGTGCCCAAGTCGTCCTTGAACACGTCACAGTATTTGTCCAGCAAGTCCTGAATGGTATGTGGCTTTGTCGCTGTCACATATTTGATCAGTTTCCAGTTGAGCTTTAGTTCTCTCAGCCAGTTCCTGCCACAAAGCGATGCTCCATGCCCTTTTACAACCAACAATGGCAGTTCAACTTTTTGCTCTTCGTACCCCACTTTTGTATAAAACTGTCCTAAAACAGGAATGCGCCCTCCATTATAAGCTTTGAGTTTAACTTGAGCTGGCTGTAACGGCACGTGTGAAAACTTCCTCCCATATGTTTCTTGTGAAATCACACTTCTTGCCGCTCCAGTGTCTATTTCCATGTCCAGATTCACCTTGTCAATAGAGAACGTGGCCCTGTACAGCTCATCATCTTCACTACTGACTGTCATTATGGCGACCTCCTCTTGCTCTACATCCTCGTTTGCTGTCATGTATTTTGTGTCTTTACATTGGAATCTTTTATTTGGTTGTGCATTTTGTGATTTTGTACGACATGCCTTTTTGAGATGTCCAATCTTTCCACAGTTGTGACATTTAGTCTCTTTGAAATGGCACTCGTTTGCATTGTGATTTTTGCCTTTGCATCTGTAGCAAGTTTTGGTTTTGTCCGGTCTCACTTTGTGAATTGCTCCAGCACCGACAAGTTCACTGTCAGCTCCTCTTAGCTGTCGTGTGTCCCTTTCTGCAGTTTCCATGTTGAGCGCAATCTCAAAAGCTTTTGCAAATGTGAGTCTATCTTCAGAGAGCAATCTTCTTTGGCACGTTTCATTTTTGATCCCACTGACGAACCTGTCCTGCAATGCAGAATCCAAATTGGCACCGAACTCACAGTTTGTAGCTTGTTGCTTTAGCTCCGCTACATACTGTGCAACAGTCTGATTTTGTTTTTGGTTGCACTTATTAAAACGGACCTTTCAGCGACTAAAATGGGCTTTGGCTCAAAATGCTCTTTTAAAATCATCACAATATCTGCAAATGATTTATCTTTGGGCTTGTCAGGCTGCACTAAGTTTCTCAATAGTCCATATGTTGTAGCTCCCATCACACTTAGCAAAACGGCTACGTACTTCCCTTGATCTATGTCGTTAGCATCGAAAAACTGTTCCAGCCGCTCGACGTATGCAGTCCACGGCTCATTTTCTGGCTTGAATTCGTCGACCTTGCCGATTTGGGCCATTGTACTCACTAGTACCGACACCGTGTGCCTGTGTCCCTCCGCAAATTATCCTCGTCGCCAATTGTAGTGTATTTAATAAGACTCGGACAGTGATCACATTTCGTGACGAACTTTACTTAGCCAACAACCTGTCTGTGAGAAGCAACCAGACAAAGCGCATGCGTAACAAATGGACTGTACCAAATCTCCAACAATAGGGGTGAATACACCACAGTTACCAAACCAACTCAACATGGAAAAAGTTAAAACTGACTCAACACAAGATTTGTAAAACAGTCTCATTATCGTCCCTGTTTTACAAAAACTCATGGACATCTCTGTCCTGTGGCTGCTCAGTTTCAGGGAAATGTTCTATGTGTGTTTCAGGTTCTGAACGAGGTAGTTGTGGACAGGGGGCCGTCCTCATATCTGTCCAACGTGGACCTGTTCCTGGACGGACACCTTATCACCACAGTACAAGGAGACGGTACGAGCTCTCTGCTGTCGGGAAACGCTGAGAACAGAGGATCATGAACTGAGGAGAGAAGAGAGCGGGCGTGGACAGAGGGCAGAGGGCAGAAGACTGGGGAAAGGGGAGAGCGGGCGTGGACAGAGGGCAGAGGGCAAAAGACTGGGGAAAGGGGAGAGCGGGCGGGGACAGAATTGCAGAGGACAATGGAAGGGGGAGAGGGGAGAGACGAGGGGACTGAGGACAGGGAGAAGAGGACAGAACTGACCACAGAAGACTGACAACAGACAGGATTGGGGGAAAGGGGACTGAGGACTTTTAAAAAAATACAATATTGTTAGTCTGTGGCATAGTGGGCATGGGACTCAGGACGGAGGACAGAACAGTTGGCTGAGGACCGAGGACAGGGGACTGTGTCCTGTCTTCAGGCGTTATATTAAATTTTTACTCCAAAAGTAATGTCACGTTTTTTTAATGATCAGGTTCCGGTTTGAAGCAGGAAAGTTAAAAATGAGGCCTTTTGCAGATTCTGAAAAGTCAAGGTTAGGGTTATTGATCCACTTTATGACATCAGTCAATATTGATATTTTAAATATAGTTAGTTTGATTTAAACTCAAATATAATGTGTGTTTTGTAATGACCCTGTAAAACTGGTGTCCAGGCCTCATCGTGTCCACTCCCACGGGCAGTACGGCCTACGCTGCAGCTGCTGGAGCCTCCATGATCCACCCCAATGTGCCGGCTATGATGATCACCCCCATCTGCCCCCACTCCCTGTCCTTCAGGCCCATCGTGGTCCCTGCTGGGGTCCAGCTCAAGGTCTGCCCCGGAGTACACCCATCAACCAATTACACACATCTCTGTCCAATCGCACACATCTGTGTCACAAACACATACATCTCTGTCACTTAACACATGTCATATTTCAGACTAGGATCTGTATTTGTTTAATTTACCACAGTATGTCTCTACCTCTCGACAATCAGAGCAAAACCATGAACACTGTACTGCAGCAACATCTCAGGTATAAAAAAAGCACACAAAAAATTAATTCAGAGCTTCTTAGGACTTGCTGCAGTTTCCAGCGCATTCAAAAGTAAATGGAAGGTTTTCATTAAAAATCTCACAATACAGGGCCCCATTTATTCTTTCCTTTACACGGATCAGTCGTCCTGGTCCATTTGCAGAAAAACAGCCCCAAAGCATGATATTTCCACCCCCATGCTTAACAGTAGGTATGGTGTTCTTTGGTTGCAACTTTGCATTATTTTCTTACAATTTTGTTTCTGGTGTCCTTTGACTGCTATTTGGTCTTGGCCATAGTGGAGTTTGAAATGTGACTGTTTGAGGCTGTGGACAGGTGTCATTCAGACTGATAACCAGTTCAAACAGGTGACATTGAGGCCCGTCCACACGTAGCCGGGTATCTGCTAAACCGCAGATATTTGTCTTTGTTTGCACCTGTCATCCACATGACAATGCATCATAAACGAATATATTAAAAATTTCTGGGCAAAGTGGAGATTTATGAAAACTCCGTTTATGTATTTGCGTGTAGACAGAGATAACCGTAGTTTTGCATTTTCGCACGTCACAGTCAGTGGGGGCAGGTCCCGGCTCAAAAGTGGCCAAAATCACGTGCGCTGACATGCTTGCGATACCACCCCGGGCCGATGGGGGTGGACCCTGAATAAGAATTAGCCAATGCTAACATATAGCGTTGGCAGACCTCTCGAAAACGTCTTTTACAGGATGGTCCAAAAGTTGGCTCTTGGCCCAAAGCTCCGTTCCACATGTGTGTCAATGCTGAGGGATTTTTTTGGACCCCTCTAGTTTACTTGCTGTGAATTTTTGAAGTCTCTCGTTCAAATGAATGGAGCTTGCGCCGGCTGACGCATGCGCAGATGCATTTTTTCACAATTTTCTTGTGGGCGGGACCACTCGCGGCCATTTTGGATTGCTCCAGTAGAGCACTATTTTTGGCCCATTAGTTAGAACGGCGGAGATAGGCGTGACTTTGTACGTTAATTTTTACAGTCTATTAGAGGTGCAACGGTTCATCACTGATCCGTGATCCGTTCGGTTCAACGTCTTCGGTTCGGTACAGACGTGATCCGCGGTTTGATTTATGAAAAAAAAGTTGTGCACACGTTGTTCAGTCCACACACAGCGCGGTCATTGCGAGCGGAGGAACGGAGATACTTGAAAGCCCTGCGTCATTTAAATCCCCAGAGCATTTTGGCTTCACTGTAACTACACTGATAATTAATATTTGACAAAACTGTCACGATGTGTAAGCACTGTGGCACAAGAAAGACATGAGTGAAAAAAGCGTCTCAATGACCGCTTATTGTTGCGGCATTTAAGCAGCTCCTTTACGCACAGTCAGACCGGGCTAAAGTCAACTCTCCCGCGCATCCTCAGCTGCGCACACGACTGACGCTTGGACGTCCCGCGGAACCTATAATAGATCCATGAGCGGAACCGCTCACTTCATCACCGCAGACTGGGAGATGAAAAGTCTGGCGCTGCAGACACGCCCCCTCTACGACAGTCACACAGCGCAGGTACTGACACAAGCAGCGGAGGAATGGAAGACAAAGGCCCAGTACTAATATCCCAGTCACAACTGATAATGCCAAAAATTAAATAAATGCAGTGAATGAGGCTGGGCCCAGAATGGAGCGCCTCCTCGGGAGAATCAGGAAGGTGGTTTAATATATGAGGGTAAATATCCTCATAAAGTGCCTTCTTATGTTGCACTTTGTGTTGTTTTTCATTAATTATGTTAAATAGACATAATTGGATGGATGGAATATGCCATCCATCCATCCATCCATTTCCTTCCCCTTAATTCATTTCTAGGTCAGGGGGGCAGTCAGAGCAGAAGCCGAGTCCACATGAGCTGTGTTTATTAAAAAGACAAAACTTTTTTTTTGAAAAATGAACCGAAAAATGAACCGAACCGTGGCCTCTGAACCGAGGTACGAACCGAACCGTGATTTTTTCAAACCGTTGCACCCCTACAGTCTATGGTCACAGTATGCCCCCAAACCAACAACAAACAAAACATGCGACCTCTAATCACTGAAGAAGCATGGATCTTACTGCCTTAAAAACTGTTCGCTGCTGCGAACCGCTTGCATCCTCGCTCCACATCAGAGAGCAGCAGTGATCACCGGGACTCACGCTCCAAAACAACCAAGACAGGAGCTAAACCAGGATTAAACCAGGATTAAACCAGGATTAAACCAGGGCTGAGGACGGGGTCAGTGCTTGTAAACATATGTCTTTACCCTGAGTCTCTTCTGTGACCGTAAAAGTGCCGCTACAGAAGTACCGGCGTCAGTATCAAAGCTCCGCCCACTTCTGTGTTTTCCCCCAACGCAGGACGTCAGAGGACGCACATGTTAAGAATGTGATTGAAAACGCAGATGTTCGATTATGTGTGGATGCAAATTATTTTATAAACTGAGAGGGGGAAAATATTGGGTTTTATAAATACCCGGCTACGTGTGGACATGGCCTACAAGTGGAGGACAGGAGCCTCTTAAAGAAGGGGTTACAGGTCAATGAGAGCCACAAATCTTGCTTGTTTGTTGGTGACCGAATACTTATTTCCACCATAATTAGCAAAAAAATTCTTTAAAAAATTTGATTTTTACTGATTATTTTTTCTTATTCTGTCTCTCATAGTAGAGGTATATGAATATTACAGGCCTCCCTCTTATTTTTTAGTGGGAGAAATTGCACAATTGGTGGCTGAAGAAATGTATGTGGGTGTTTCTCCTAAACGTAATGTGTGTGTACAGATCATGCTCTCCTGTGACGCTCGACACACAGCCTGGGTGTCATTTGACGGAAGAAAGAGACAAGAGATCTGCCACAGTGACAGGTTTGACTCACACACACAGTTGCATCTGATGCCTAGCGTACATCGGACTGGCAACTGATTATATCAGTTGCCTATGAGTTGCTGCCCCGCACACATCAACAATCTGGCGAAAACGGGCAACTCCCAGTAGCAGGCCAGTCTCGGGAATAACAGCGCGTACATCGACAGCAACTGGCCGTCAACTACAGTGTGTTTTCTGACATAAACTGTAGAGGGGGCACAATACGTCACATGATAACACTCAACACATGTTTTTTGCGCGCACATTGGGTGATATCTCCGGATCTGAGTACAACTAGTTGCCGAAAAGTAGAACACGGGCAACTGACTGAATCCGGAGACCGACTGTTTATCTCCAGTTGTAAGAGCGCTCACATGGACCGATTTTGGCAACTGATCATCTACCATCATCTACTCTATTGCCAAAAGCCGCCTTGCAACTAGTTGTCTCCAGTTACTCTGTTGATGTACGCTAGGCTTAACTCACTCACTCGTTACATTGTTAGGGCGGCACGGTGGCTGAGTGGATAGCACTCTCGCCTCTCAGCAAGAAGGTCCTGGGTTCGAATCCCGGTCGGACCAGTGCCTTTCTGAGTGGAGTTTGCATGTTCTCCCCGTGTCTGCGTAGGTTTCCTCCGGGTACTCCGGTTTCCCCTACCACTAAAAATATGTCCAATAGGCATGTCTGGCATGCGCCTCCTGTACCTGCGACCCCGCTCCCATCTCTGTGTGGAGTGAGATATGAATGCCCATAATTACCAATTGTAAACCGCTTTGAGACTCAGATCTGCAGTGAAAAGGCGGTATATAAATAAAGATGACTTACTGACTTACCTGGTGGGTCTCTTTGACAGGGCCGTACCTAATGGGACCCATAGACATGATCTTTTTTACTGGGACTACTTTAAGTAATTTAAAACAGTCAATAGAAAACAAACTCTTTTAAAGGAATTTTATTTTTTATTTATTTTTTGAATTGCAGTGATTCTATTTTTGACATAGAATTTAATGCCACTCTATGTCCGATGTCTAAGGTCATCTGGTGAGGCATTAATGCAGGCCTGGCCAGGCCAGCCCAGGCCAGTCCAGGCCAGGCCAGGCAGTGAGACTTCTCAGGGACTTTTCCAGCCTGTATGAAAGGCATCATGGTCTTCTCCACAGCCTTCACCTCAGATGCAGACCATGGCTTTCTCTAACGTTCTAGGGAGAGAAATAAAAATATATTAGCAATATACACTCGCAGGGTTAGGACCAAGCAGCCTGGCTGTAATCCCCCACCTGGTACACTTACCAGAAGGGGCACTGCCACTACCATGGGGTGCATCTGGATGAATGGTTGAAGGTTCTCCGCTTGAAGTTTCTTTTAGCCCGACCGTTTGTGAGAGGATCTCTACTGCTCTCCCTATAGCACAGAAAATAAAAATACAAGTGGCCTTTAGGGAAAAAAAATAATATATATTTTAATAATATCAAGAATTACCTTCAGGCTCAATTTGTATCTGGTCGAGGCCCTTTCCTTTGAATTCCGTCACTCTTCCCTGCTCCATGGCCATTAACACTTTGCTGATTTTGGCCAGCTCCAGTGTCCCCTCTGGTAGTCTGTAATATTGTCTGTGGATTCGAATGTCATGGCCGAGGAAGTTGGCTAGTATGTCCATTTCATTCTCTTTCATATTGAGAACTGTAGACATAGTAGCTATGTGCTTTCTAAGTTTGGTTGCGGATAGCATCTCTGGATGCACCGCACCACATTCTTTGGCTACCTGCCGTAGGGAGTCTGATCCCCTGATGTGGGTGTCTGCACCCGGGCGGGAGAAGAAGTATGGGTTCTGTTCTCCACCAGCACCTCCATCGAAGCAATCATTTCAGGAGTCAAAAGAACCGCCACTTTCCGACTTCTTTTCCCTTTAATTTCAATGCGTTGAAAATGCTGACACAGCTTTTTCTCAAGTTCGGACAGTCCCAGAGCAATGTCAGAATGGATCCCAGTCTTACTTCTTAAGGTAAACGCTGTCAGTGGCATCTTTGAAACCTCACCTTCCCCTCTTCGATTGAAAATAATGACCTCACAAAGAGTCAAAACTGCCAGTTTAGACCAATGCTTAGAGGTTGGTTCACTTATTAGGCTTTGCACATATTCAGGTCGACATACCTCGATATGTGCATGCATGGCTCTAACGTCCTCAGTCAGAGGGAGCAGGTCCGGAGTGTTCCACTTGGCTTGCCGGAGGGTCTGTAGGGCAGCAGAAGAAACACAGACGTCCCACCTCTTCTCAAAAAGCAGCCGGCTTCGTTGGAGGTTTTTAATAAATAGTTCATCAACACAATGCTCCATTTTTGAGTCACATTCAAGAATATCTGCTAGCTTTCTGAGGCTATGGCAGAGTTTGAGGGCCAAGGATGGAGTCTTGTATTGATTTGTTTCCTCATCATATCCAGCCACAGACTTGACTGCATCAATCACATGGTTAAAGTTGGAAGGAATAAAGAAATCCTTAATTGTTTTCAGTTTCCCTGCCGTTTTTGCTTTGTTAATTAACCTACCGACTTCTCAAATTTTCTGCCTAATGTAATCATGCTTAGTCTTATCATGCCCGTGTTTTAAGTACAGGTGCTCTCCGAGTCTCAGAATCCCCTTTTCTGCTTTGACAACCCCCGTGACCTCATCCTTATGCATTGCCCAAATTAAAGACCACAGCTTTTTGCTGATGCCCTCCGGTACAGGCTGGGCTAGGGAGCAGAGGGACTGGACCCTACTTCTACCTGGTTTAGCCTGAGCATCTTTCTGTGAAAGCCGGCACCTGGCCACATGCCTCCACAGCCACTTTCGCTTAAAGACCTTATGACGGGTTTTAAAAAAAAAAAAATAGTGGATATCAAAATTGCATGACAATGTCAATTTGAAAGAGATTCCGGCAAAAAAATCCTATATTTTATAAAAAGAACGTGTTTTTCATGAATTTAAGTTGTCTATGCTCTAACCTGTGGTGACGTCATAGCGGGTTACGCCCATGCATTGAAAACCATGGATCTATGCCACAGGACTGCCTTTTCTCTCTTCTCTCCACTGATGCCCAACACAATACTGCCCTCTACAGGTGACAATTGCTCACTACACACCAAGTCACCAAGGGCTGTGAAGTTTTTTCGTTTCTAAGGGCGTTGCTATGGGGTTATTTCGATTTGGGGGGATCAGACAAAAAAAACAACAACTGATTTTGAAACCTTTAGTAGTTATAATATAAAATGGTATTAAAACTGTATTTCTAAATAAATCAAACCCGTCATAAGGTCTTTAAGCAATACATGATAACAATCTTATTTGCCTTTGGTTCGTCACTTTCCAAGTCTTGAAGAAAAGTTTTGATTTTTCTTTTTCCATACTTTTTTACAGGCTTCTTCTTGACAGTTAAATTGTCAGAATCTGAGTCGACTTCATCAATTAGGGACTCTTGACTAAGCTGCACAAACAACAAATCATTTGTAATAATTCAGTATAACAACTTGAAGTCATAACTTGTAGTCAGCACTTACCAGTGGTTTGTAAGCGTGCGCTTCAGTGTGCTGCTCTGTGATTTCTTGCAGCCTAATGAACCACACACTTGCACCTTTTCTAGCCTGACACCTGATTTCCTCTGTTGTGCTGCTCCATGATTGGCTCCAGCCTCTGTTGTGCTGCTCCATGATTGGCTCCAGCCTGCTGGACTGAAATGGCCCCAGTGTGCCCCTCCTTGATATCCCGCAATCCACCACCAGGGTTCCGACACATAACACACTTTTTTCAGGAAAGTAAACCTCCAGGGGTCCTTTCCATATTTTTACAGAGACTGCATAAGGACCGTTAGAAAAGCTTTACCCATTGATTATTAAGCTTGGACCAGTGGGGTCCGGTGTTCGGGCCCCACCACGTAAAACCAGTCCCCATGACGTGAGTGGAATCTCAGGTTATGGACCCCACCAGGAGTTGAAAACAAGTGCACAGTTGCATCTAACACACACACACACACACACACACACACACACACACACACACACACACACACACACACACACACAGACAGGTCCTCCCATAACCTTGTATGCTCTCTCCTCAGCATCAGCATCACCACCTCCTGCTTCCCCGTTCCCTCCGTCTGCTTCAGGGACCCGGTCATCGACTGGTTTGAGAGTCTGGCCCAGTGCCTGCACTGGAACGTGAGAAAGAGGCAGAATTACCTCAGCGCGGATGACGACGAAGACGACTGAGCCTCACTGAAGCCTTCTATCCCACTGGAAACGCACCAAACGCTTTGAAGCACTGCAAAAAATTAGACAAAAGAGCAGGATTCATGATCACCTGAGCCGTAGTCAGGTTGCCAAAGGTTAAGAGAGTGTAGTCAAGTATTTACAGTTTCCAGTGACAGTCCAAACCCAAATCAAGCACTTATCCACTTTTTTGTTGTCATTTTTTGCTGTGACCCCAGGCTTTTTTAAACATGTGTTTATCTTTACCAACTCTTGAATCATGTAATTTTCGATTTCGGTCGATTGTGGTAATTTTGAGAGTGAATAGGTATTGGACACTCACACACAGAATTATCTGGAGCCGGAGGGTGTTCCTCAGTCTGTTTCAGGGTTCTCTTGCACTTTCTTCTCCGACCAAAGGCAGAGATAAGAGCTGTCTCAGGTCCTGTGCCTTATGTGGATACAGACATTCCACAGACATTCCACTGCTCCAGTCGTTAAAGGAGGGATATTATGATGCATACTCAACTGGTACGAGCACAATAACGTGTTTGCTAATCATTTCAACTGAATTCAGCTTCATTTCAGACTTGGGTTTCTCTGTGAGTCCTTATGATTTGACACAACATCTCAATACATTGGCCTTCATGATGTGAAGATGAGTGAAGGAAAGGAAAATGGCTGCTTTCCTCCTCAAACCACTGAAGATGTGCTACAAAAGTCTCTGGTCTCTCTCTACTGACACTGGTCTCCCCCTGGTCTCTCCCTCTCTCTCACTCTGGCCTCTCTGATTTCTCTCTGGACTCTTTGATCTCTCTCTGGACTATTTTTGGTCTCTCTTTGATCTCTCTCTCTCGCTGGTCTCCCTCTAGTCTCTCTTGTATCTCCTCTCTCTGGTTCTGTCTGGTCTCTTTGTTCTCTCTCTAGTCTCTTTGGTTTCTCTCTTTGGTTTCTCTTTTTGGTCTCTCTCTAGTCTTTCTCATCAGCATTTGTGAGTGGAGGTGGTTAGAAAAGTGTGTGGTGTGGGGTTTTACAGCCTTAAACATATAGCTTCTAGTTCAAGGATTTCACTTTATATTTGTTGTTTTGAACCAGCGACCAGTGGTATCTGTAGTACCATTGTACATGAAGTGATTAATAATGTTGCATACAAACATATCTCTTTGTCAAACGTCTGGACTTTTCTGAGTTCAAGTGATTGGAAATCTGGCTCAACGACTTTCAGTGAGTGCAGGAGTTAAAACCAGAAAGTGCTGCCTTTTTCTTATAACTTTGCCTTTACTCTGAAGCCTGCTTATCATAAGTATATATTATATACTTATATATAATATATACTTATATAGTATATAAGAATATTTTCATTTTTTATAATAGAAGTATTTATTCATATCATCTCTCCACTGTGGCCAGCAGAGGGTGCAGACACATATTTATAGTTTTAATATAAACATCAAAGATGTAATATGTCTCCTTTTAAGCTCTGAAAGCCATAGCAGTCTTTGTAAGTTTTATACTAACTGAAATGATCACTGTCTTTGTTACTAAAGAAACACAAGGTTTATTCCTCAAGAGGATTATTCTGTTGACTACACATTTTCACGCTTTTCTATCTTTAAACCATGGCATTGGTCATAGTAAGATCCTAAAAACACATTCCATAAAGCTCAAATGTTTGTATGAAGCTTGATAAATGTTTATGAACCGTTTACATGTCACTGCGGAAATAAACTGCTTTGGTATTTTTCCAGATGACTCAATGACTTTTGTTTGTTTCTAAACTAGAACAGACTGGGATTAGATTCAAGTCTGAGTCAAGACAAAACCAATGCAGTCACAGAGAGAGACCGGCCAGTCCCACAGGTGCTTGGTTTAGACCTGGTTTAGGCCTGTTTAGGTCAGTTTTAGGCTTCGTCTTGGTCTGGATTAGATTCATATTTACTTTATTTGCCATTTGCAGTAAAACCACATTGGAAAACATTCAAGGCCTAGGCCCGGTTTAGGACTGGTTTAGACCTGGTTTAGACCTGGTTCACGTCTGGTTTAGGGCTGGTTTCGACCAGGTTTACTCATACACCAGGCCTAAACTAGGTGTATGTCCACACACTGTCCATCAGAGCCAACAGAAATGATGTATGTTGAGATCCAAAAGAGCAGAGAGTTCTGACCGGGAACATGTTGTGAATCAGATACAGAATCATTTTTATTGCCACGTAAGTAACAGGAAGCCACAGACTTGGAATTTGCTTTGGCTCAGTGCAACAGTAAGAGAGGTAAAGAGTAGAGAAGGTATAAGGAAAAAAAAAAAAAACATCAACACTTCTAAGGAATAAAATTTAAAATAGAATTATTACGATTACAATTACTACAGTGCCTTGCGAAAGTATTCGGCCCCATTGAACCTTTCAACATTTCGCCACATTTCAGGCTTCAAACATAAAGATATAACATTTTAATTTTTGTCATGAATCAACAACAAGTGGGACACAATCGTGAAGTGGAACGAAATGTATTGGATAATTTAAACTTTTTTAACAAATACAAAACTGAAAAGTGGGGTGTGCAATATTATTCGGCCCCTTTACTTTCAGTGCAGCAAACTCACTCCAGAAGTTCAGTGAGGATCTTTGAATGATCCAATGTTGTCCTAAATGACTGATGATGATAAATAGAATGCACCTGTGTGTAATCAAGTCTCCGTATAAATGCACCTGCTCTTTGATAGTCTCAGGGTTCTGTTTAAAGCGCAGAGAGAACCATGAAGACAAAGGAACACACCAGGCAAGTCCAGGATACTGTTGTGGAGAAGTTTAAAGCCGGATTTGGATACAAAAAGATTTCCCAAGCTTTAAACATCTCAAGGAGCACTGTGCAAGCAATTATATTGAAATGGAAGGAGTATCAGACCACTGCAAATCTACCAAGACCCGGCCGTCCCTCCAAACTTTCATCTCAAACAAGGAGAAGACTGATCAGAGATGCAGCCAAGAGGCCCATGATCACTCTGGATGAACTGCAGATAACTACAGCTGAGGTGGGAGAGTCTGTCCATAGGACAACAATCAGTCGTGCACTGCACAAATCTGGCCTTTATGGAAGAGTGGCAAGAAGAAAGCCATTTCTCAAAGATAAAGATAATCTTTAAAGTTTGCCACAAGCCACCCGGGAGACACACCAAACATGTGGAAGAAGGTGCTCTGGTCAGATGAAACAGAAATCAAACTTTTTGGCCACAATGCAAAACGATATGTTTGGCGTAAAAGCAACACAGCTCACCCTGAACACACCATCCCCACTGTCAAACATGGTGGTGGCAGCATCATGGTTTGGGCCTGCTTTTCTTCCCCAGGGAGAGGGAACATGGCTAAAATTGATGGGAAGATGGATGGAGCCAAATACAGGACCATTCTGGAAGAAAACCTGTTGGAGTCTGCAAAAGACCTGAGACTGGGATGGAGATTTATCTTCCAACAGGACAATGATCCAAAACATAAAGCCAATTCTACAATGGAATGGTTCACAAATAGACGTATCCAGGTGTTAGAATGGCCAAGTCAAAGTCCAGACCTGAATCCAATCGAGAATCTGTGGAAAGAGCTGAAGACTGCTGTTCACAAACGCTCTCCATCCAACCTCACTGAGCTCGAGCTGTTTTGCAAGGAAGAATGGGCAAGAATTCCAGTCTCTCTATGTGCAAAACTGATGGACATACCCCAAGCGACTTGCAGCTGTAATTGCAGCAAAAGGTGGCGCTACAAAGTATTAGCGCAAGGGGGCCGAATAATATTGCACGCCCCACTTTTCAATTTTTTATTGGTTAAAAAAGTTGAAATTATCCAATAAATTTCGTTCCACTTCACGATTGTGTCCCACTTGTTGTTGATTCTTGACAAAAATGTTGTTTTAATCTTTATGTTTGAAGCCTGAAATGTGGCGAAATGTTGAAAGGTTCAAGAGGGCCGAATACTTTCGCAAGGCACTGTATGTACAATATAAAAGTGTATATAAGGTGACAGCAGTAAAGTGATGTTATGATGGGCAGTAAAGTGACTGCTAAAGGGCGGGGGGACAGGTTATGAAGTGTCAACATTGATCTGTTTTACAAAAGTAAACAACAAATGATAACATAAATACAGAACACGTTTTTTGACATTTATTTATCAACATTTATTGAGGTCGTGGTTTAAATTTTTTTGAAATTTACTTTTGTACGTTTTAATTTACAATAAATATAAATTATGAAAAATATAAGTATTCTGAATACAGGTACTACTTTTTCCAAAGTAACCAAATACTATACAAAATACATTTTAGGTCATGTATTCAGTATTGTGGAATAAAATACATTGTCAAAGTATTCTACCCAACACTGCACCGCCCTCAGCAGTGTCCAGTGTAGAAAATTAATCACAACAGTTTTTACTATAACAGGGCCTGAACCATCATAGATCCCTGGCCTGAACAGGCTGCCCTGAAAAACATTTAATCCAATCAGGGTGTCTAGCTTTAAACTTAATCGGATTGTGGAATTGTTTATATTAAACATTTGCAAAAGCCATCAATGCAAAGTGACAACGATCATAGACTGTTATGATCATTTTTATAATAGATCCATGACTGTAACTAACTAGGGAAAAAGTCTTGTTTCTGTAGCCCACCCATTTGATTGAAGAAAGAATGTAGGCTTAAAAAATAAACAGGGCTGAAATAATGAAGGGGCATAACAATAAAGCAAAGCGTAAATATTCCAAATAAATACAACACATTAAATACAACAATAAAAAAAAAAAAACAATGTTGGTTTCATAAGTATTTTCGGATTACATTTATTTATGCATTTAATTTTTCATTTGAAAGTTTTGTCCTCCATAGAAGCAGCAGCACCCTGGATGATAAAGTCACGTGGACAGACCGCGGTAAAGTGGGCCTCATCTTTCACCTCCGAAGTAAAACGGCCCGCATCGAGAGAAAAACAGTGCGCGTTTTGTTGACTACTTACGGTAATAGCGGAACAGCCTTTCGGA